CCCTCTTAATTGGGTCAAGTTCTTAAGGAGCAGTTCAAAATTGTGAGGCCCAAGACTAAGCTCATTTAGACCACTGATATGAAGAACGTGTAGTTTGGAAAGGTGAGAGATTTCAGAAGGGATTAGACCTGTAAAATTTGAATGCGACAAATCAAGATGCGTCAAACTTGAAAACTCACCAAATTTAGGTGAAATGAGAGATCAAGAGAAATTATTATAAGACAAATCAAGACTTTTGAGATTGGAGAGTTGAAAAAGGCTACCATTGGAATGCAACTTGCCTTGAAGTTGGCTGCAATGGAGATCAAGCTCAATCACCTGTCTTGTTGTCTCGTCACAATGAACTCCATCCCATGAGCAACAATCTGTGCTCTTGTTCCATGAAAGAGTTCTTGGATATGACTGAATCTCTTGGTCTGTTGTGTCGTAACAATAATCAGAAGCATTAGGATTGATGGTAAACATGTTCTTGAATTGTAGAAGAGAAAGAGCTTGATCTTCGGGGCACAAATGAGGTAAGGATGAGGAGAAAGCAAGTTGATAGAGAAAGGGATATAGCATAAAAAATACAAGTTTTACATAACCCATTTCTGCACTAAAAATGATCAAAACTAACTAAGTTCGTAGAGAAGAAATCAAGAAATGTTTGCTTTGTGTGTCTATTCAATAATTTTGACGAGGTATATATAGCACAAATTAAGCAAATAAAAATTTACTAATAGTTATGTAGTCATTTTCAGTCAATTTAAAGTTGTGAATCACATATGGCCATTCAATGTGTCACACAAGTGAATGCCGGAAACTATCAATAGTTCACATTCTTAAGTCAATGCACAAAGTCCCACCACTTGTATATAACACATTACACGTGCATTTTGTCTGATACCATATTATAGACAAAGATGTCACAAAAAATATCTTTGCTTTGTCAACGTCCAGGAATAGGACCACCACATAACTTAATTGTTTAGGATAAGAGTATTACTTGGTGTATAGACTTTGAAAGAAACATAAGAACTTTATATCTTAGGAGTAGGACAGTCACTTTGCTAATGCATTAAGGTTAGACTGGAAATCTACTCTGAATATATAGCGCCTTACATAGTGCACCAGCTCGGGCCAATTTTCCACGAGAATCGAGCTGCTGATGGAAGACAGTGCAGGAGTCCAGACATGGCAGTTCTTCATAGATTCTATCTTCCTGGATAGGTGAGTGTGAAACTGTTGCTCTTGTCTTCTTGGAGAGCAGAACGGAAGAAACAAGTTGTTATAGTCTTCAAGTATAGGCTAACAAATACTTCATGAAACTAACAACAATGTAGCTCCACTACTGGTCTGACCGACTTGGTAGGATAGTGTATACGCAGACCTTATCTCTACCTTGAAGGTAGAGAGGTTGTTTTCAATAGATTATCGGCTCAAAGAAAGATGTAAAAAGAAGGAAGTAGCAACAAGCAGAAAATACAACAAGATAATACAGTAATCGAGGCTAAAGAAACAAGAAGTAATAATAAAAATCTAAGATGAAAATAAAGTTTGTAGTTGGAGAGAAAAAGTTTGCTTTTGAAGGACAAATATTTGAATCCTGGAGACTGATAGACATTAATCAGAAGCAAATATTTTTCATGACTTCACTGTTACAGCGGATAAAGTTTAGTGATCTTTTTTAAAATAGATCCTATTTGTATAATATATTGTTTTCAAATACATCGATTTTAAATTAAAAAATATGAAAAATTTCACGACCATATTGACCTGACTATAGCAAGAAAGAATGTTTTCTATTTTCTTTGTAAATTACAAAACTTTCGAGATCGCACAAGCATGCACCAAAACAAAGCAAGACACTCGGAAATAAATAAAACTTCAAAAATCTTAGGAGTGGAAATACAAAGGTCGTCATTTTAATTTTAACTTCAGACAATAATCTTAACCCCAATTTACTATTAAGAACATATTTTTAGATTTTCTTAATAAAAAAAAACTGATTCACTCTTCAAATAAAAATTATTTAGGGGAGAAACTTCACATATTCAAAGGTTGGGGACTATTTCAGCATTTAAATTACTATAATAAATAGGTCTTTGTTTTGGCTCTCTTAACAACCCTCCACACACACAAAAGTTGTTTTGGCTCCTTATGTCGGTTGGGTGTATGAACAAAGTCTTGCATTAGAAGTTGGTAAGGAAAAAAGAAGATAAGAGTGTTATATATGGTTCTTCATATGTTGTTTGTGGTCTTGAATCTAATGGTATATCATCTTCTGCAGATGGCTCCGTATTTAGATCAAACGAAATTTGATTGACTGAAGAAGGCTCATCTATTGAATTAATTGAATTGAAATTAGGACTAGGTAATGAATCAACAATAATATTGAGATTGGGTATATAATGTGCAACACCGTAAGAATCATCCACCTCAACAAAAATATTTAAATCTATTCCATTCATTAAACTTGATTTATTTTGTATTGTATATATTGGTTGTTTGATTTCTCATTTCATTGAAGCATTTTTTAAAACAAAATATTTTTGTGGGAAATTTTTAAATGTCACAAAAAATTGCAAAAGTGTATGTTGTTTCCCTCCATTTTTTTCACTTGAATTCAAATAAGTGGTTGTAATTTTTTTAGTTTAGTGCTAACCTTCTCCCTGTCATTTGTGGGTCTTACGCATGAACCCATTAAAATATGAAAAGTTGCCATAAATAAATAAATAAACTGATGAACTTCCCACAACATTGATTAGCTATCTCATCTTTGAAATTTGGATAATGGCTTTAATGAGTAAATTGATTTTGGAATCATAATTAATACGGGCAAAATGGTAACTTCATTATGCTAATCATTGTTGTCTTAATAGGTGTGTCATTTCTAAAGTGGACAAGTAAATAGGGACAGAGGGAGTAAAAATTATGATACGCACCTGTTGTCCATCGACTCTGTCTTTCAGCATGATCTTAGGTCCATTAGTCCATTTTTCGTTCCAAAGAACATTAAAAAATGAAGGATACTTTTTAAAATTTTCATAGTAAATTCAAATATCGACTTCCTTTACTTATCTTGAAAGAAAATTTACACAACTAAAAAGTTTCACAAACGTACTCTTCAAATGAAAATTACTACTTATATGTATGTTTATGTGTGATGGAAGGGAGGATAAATAAGATAGCATAGAAAGATTTCAACTGAAAGCGACAACACAAAGTCCCACCACTTGTAATAGCACATGTATTTTGTTTGAATGTCACAAGAAATATCTTTGTTTAGCTCTCTTAACACACACCACACAAACTTGACAGAAACAAGAATTGACCTGCTGATGGAAGACAGTGCAGGAGTCCAGACATGGCATGTTCTTCATAGGCTAACAAACAAACTCAGTGTAATCGATTCCCACCAATGGGGCCTGGCCGTCTTGGGAGGATAGTGTGTACACAGACCTTACCACTACCTTGAAGGTAGAGAGGTTATTTTCGATAGATTCTCATGCTCAAAGAAATATGTAAAAGAAGGCAGTAGCAACAAGCAGAAAAACAATAAGATAATACAGTAATTGAGGCTAAAGAAACAACAGATAGTAATAAAAATGTAAGATGAAACATCAGAAACTATGAAAATAAAGCTTGTATTTGGAGAGAAAAAGTTTGCTTTTGAAGGCCAAATATTTGTATCCTGGAGACTTAAAGACATTAATCAGATGCAAATTTTTATTTGCAGCAGACATTATTCAGAAGCAAATCAAGAATCAAGAATGTAGCAGCTGCTGGAAGACAGTTCAGTGTCAACTGTCAGGTAGACATATATAGAAAAAAATTGCTTGTTTCATGAAAATAAAAAGATTTAATGAAAATATGGTTTTGTTATGAGTTACTCCAATAATACCATTGTAAGAAGCTACATTTTTAAAATTAATTAGTTGTAATTTCTTTTCCTACATTTTAATTACTTACTCCTTAATCGCCTTTGGATGAAACAAACTCACGAAGGATAATTGGTGTATAGACTTTGAGATAAGACATTTCAAGTCAAAACTCCAAAAAGAAATTGATTGGTTAGCTAGGGATCATTAAAAGTGTTGATTGGTGTATAGACCTTGTCTTCCAAGTCAAAAGTCCAACTTTTTTTCTCCATGATCATGTCTATAATGTAAATGATTGTAGAAAAAATATTTCAATTAATGAACTTTAATTAATTTGCTGTAGCAACAATTTCACCATCTAATGTCTCAAAAGAGTCTGAGCCTATTCTAATAAGCAGCAGCGGAATACTTTACAGCTTTCTTCCTTTCTTGATTTAGCACTGTTTCATTTAGGGAAAATGCACAAGTACCCCCAGCCTATGCCCAAAATCCCTGAGACACACCTAACCTTTACTAAGGTCCTATTACCCCCCCGAACTTATTTTATATATAATTTTCTACCCCTTTTCGGCCTACGTGGCACTATCCTTGAAAAAATTATCAACAGGCGTTGGGCCCACAAGATAGTGCCACATAGGCCGAAAAAGGGTAGAAAATTATATATAAAATAAGATCGGGGGAGGGGGGAAGGTAATAGGACCTTAGTAAAGGTTAGGTGTGTCTCAGAGATTTTGGGCATAGGCTGGGGGGTACTTGTGCATTTTCCCAAATATAATGTTTGTAGTGATGGCACATATCGTCTGATTGAATGATCTAAAGATTCAACTTTATGTCTGATTTCTGTTTATCAGTCAAATTTATTTTTACATGCCATAGAAAAATGAAAGAAAACTCTGATTTGAGTCTCAAAGGAAGAAAAGTCATGTCTTTATTCATAGGATAGCAAATACTTTATGGAAACATAACAAACTATGAAAAATAAAGGCTTTTATCTGCATCCCGAGCAACTCAGTAGACTTGAATCCTGCAATTTTCAAAAATAAAGAATTAAAGTTAAGAGCTTTGAGGATGAAGGAGGTCGAAAATACATTGACGTAAAAAATGATCTTAAGAAAGATAAAGATCAAGTTGATCGAATACCTGGAGGTCGCTACTCACTAATATCTTTTCTTGTGCTTTTTCATTCTCGTAGTAATTATGTGTTCCAATTTTAAATTCATCCTCGAAAACCACGCTGGATATTGAGTTGACCACATTATGTATATTATAGACAATCCAATAACTAGTCCACAACCATAACCCATGAGAACCCCCTGCCAACTGATCATCGGTGAATCTTCTTCTTCTTCTTCTTCTTGATCTAGCTCAACTGGAATTGTCTCTTGTGGTACCCTATCATCACGGCCACAATCTCTTGAGGGTGGCAATCCTCGTAATCCATCATTCCCTTGGTATGAACTGTTCTCAAACGTATCAAATTGTTTTCCTTTGGGGATGCATCCAACAAGATGATTGTGAGAGAGATTTAAGACTGCAAGAAATGTAAGGGATGCAAGCTGCTGCGGAATTTCTCCACTGATTTTGTTAGATGAGAGATCCAATGATTCGAGTACAGATAAATTTTGCAATGATGCTGGTATATGACCTTCCAAGACATTATGAGATAAGTTCAACGTACGAAGTCCAACAATATCTCCAATAATGTTTGGAATATGACCTTCAAATCTATTCTTTGAGAGATTGATAATCATGTTAGAAACCAAAATTGGAACAGAATCATAATCCTGTCCCTTTGTTGTAATTGTCGTCAAATAATCATAATAACCAGCATATACATCAGAAACATACTGTGGGGTTCTTGTACTCTCATCAATTTTCTTCATGGCTTGAAAATTCCCAAAAAGAGTTTCTGGTAAATACCCACTAAATCCATTGGATGATAGATCCAGAATTTGAAGCCGCGCAAACAAGTTTGTATTCCCTGAAGATTTAATGGGACCGTGAAACTTATTTGATCTCAAGCTTAAAATCTGCAAATCAGGTAGGTTTCCCAACCAGTTTGGAAATGTGTCATTCAACTGATTGTTACCGAGATCAAGAAGTGTCAAATACTTGCAATTGATCAAAGATCGTGGGACTTTCCCCGTTAGCTTATTCCCGTGCAAGCTAATGACCCTGAAAGAGTTTCCAATACTAAAATTTATATTGATTGTCCCACTAAGACTGTTGTTGCTCAAATCCAAATTCCAAAGGTATTTATTCATCTCAACCAAACATTGTGGGATTGTTCCCTCCAAATTAGTACTTCCCATATCTAGAGCTATTAGTGTTTTCAGATTGCAGATAGTTGAAGCAATCTGTCCACTAATATTATTGTGCGAAAGGAGAAGAAATTCTAGGCTTGGCTGGTTTAGGAGTGAATTTGGTAAAGGACCTTGCAGCTGATTTTGTCTTAGATCAACATGAGACAATGTGTTGGACTTGAACTCCTGAATTTTTCCACTGAAATGGTTATCACTCAAGTGTAGCGAATATAGTGATGGGAGGGAGAAAATCCAGGAAGGTATAGTCCCATTCAAGTTGTTATTTCCAAGGTATAACACCCTAAGCTTTCCAAAACTCGAGAACTGGGAAATCGGTCCTTCAAGATAGTTATCACTAAGGGACAAAATCTCTACGTGGGTGAGATTCCATAGAGGTTTAGGAATCGGCCCTGCCAAATTAGAATTACCCATGTCCAACTCATGAAGTGCAGTTAGATGGCTAAATGATTCAGGTATCCTACCAGTAATATTCACACTATTGAGATATAAGTACATGAGTGATGCACTGCTATTCCAGTTGGTTGAGGGAAACCTAACTGTGAGCTTGGGATTGTCTAATAAATCGAGAGTTTTTAAGTTGGAAAGGTGGAAAACTCTATCGGGCAATATCCCACGTAAATGTGTGTCTGAAAGCTCTAGAGTTGTTAAATGAGAAGAGAAATTTGAAGGAATGGTGGAAGAGATGTTCACATCGTAAAGGTGGAGCTCTCTTAATTGGGTCAAGTTCTTAAGGAGTGATTCAAAATTGTGAGGTCTGAATCTAAACTCATATGGATAAACATTAGAGATGCGAAGATCGTGTAATTTTGAAAGATAAGATATTTCAGAAGGAATTTGACCCGAAAAACTTGTGACTGTTAGATCAAGATGTGTTAAACTGGAGAACTCACCAAATTTAGGTGAAATGAGTGATCCAGAGAAATTATTATAGGACAAATCAAGCCTTTTGAGATTGAAGAGGTTAAAAAGGCTACTATTGGAATGAAACTTGCCTTGAAGTTCGCTGCAACGGAGATCAAGCTCAATCACTTGTCCTGTCGTCTTGTCACAATGAACTCCATTCCATGAGCAACAATCCGTGCTCTTGTTCCATGAACGAGTTTTTGGATGAGAAAACTCACAATCATAAGAAGCATCAGGATTAATGGTAAACATGTGCTTGAATTGTAGAAGAGAAAGAGCTTGATCTTTGGGGCACAAGGATGACGAGAAAGCAAGTTGACAAAGAAAGGTATATAGCATAAAAAATAAAAGTTTAACATAACCCATTTTTGCTCTAAAATGATCAAAACTAATTAAGTTGGTAGAGAAGAAATCAAGAAATGTTTGTTGTGTGTCTAGATTCAGTAAGTTTGATGAGGTATATATAGCACAAACTAAGAAAAGAAATTTACTATATACATCTAGTTGTTGCTTTGGAGTAATCAATTTCAGGAAGGTCACCTAGTCATTTTCAGTCAATTTCAGAGTTGTCAATTACATATTCACATTCAATGTGTCGCACAATATGTAAAGACTATCTCAAGCCATTGCGCCGTAATTCAAATGAAAGCCGAAAACTATCAATAGTTCACATTATCAAGTCAACACAAAGATGTCACAAAAAAAGGTATTTGTTTTGGCTCTCTTAACAACCCTCCACACCACACACACACACACAAAAGTTGTTTTGGCTCTCTTATGTCGGTTGGGTGTATGCAGAAAGTCTTGCATTAGAAGTTGGTAAGAAAAACAGCAGATATGTATAAAGTGAACTGCTACTGTTAATTAATTATGTGAGACATTTAGGAGGAAACTGTGTAAGTTTTACCCAAAGCCAATTATATCACACCATTTTTAAGAGTTTTTCTTGTCTAAAATTTTGTGCAATTGATGTCGGTTTATTCTCTCAATTTGTCATGTAAATTTGTTTGGATTTGCAGTTCTGGTGATTTTAAGGTATTACATCCTGTCCCAAATCGAAAATCCGTTAAAGTCTTGATTAGTCAGGATAAGAGTGTTACTTTGTGTATAGACCTTAACTTAAAAGGTAAAAAAAAAAGAAAAGGTTTTGATAGTTGGGATAAGTGTACTATGCATATACCCTTTTAAGAATTTGTTGTGACAGAACTTTTCGTATCCTTAATTGGTTTCAAGCATACGCTCAACAATGCATCTATTTCCTAAAATTTTGGCCAGGGAACAATGTTACAAATATACAGACAAGTAATCAATTACTTATCAGCATTTCCAATAATCTTTAGCCCTTCACCAGAAAAGACATTGGAAGCTAAGTCTTTTAGGAACTTTAATGTGATTCCAATTTCCTGACAGCAGATTATCACATGTTTTACTAAGATCTTGTCCTTGCGCGTTGTACGTGATCCCTAAACATTATATTATAAACCAGTAGAACCTTACCAATTAGTCTTATGTACACTCAAATTCTTCTTTAGGTACTTAAATGACACAAAGCCATGAGCAACCCATAAATTAAGCATACGACTTCCGCTATTATCTCAGTTGGAAATTGATCGAATGATTCAAGTAGTTTCCAAATTCTGTTTATCAGTCGAATAGGCCCCAGGAGATAGTTAACTGATAATAATGATACTGAATTTAGTTAATGCAATGCTTGAGGGAAAAAATGGGTTTGGGGTTCTTGATGTTTTCTTACATGCCTTCTAGAGATGTTTATTCATGGACTCGTATGATTCATGGGTACATGAAGAACGGGTGGTCTGAAGTTGCTGTTAAGTTTTTCCAGAGAATGATAGTGCACTAGGATGTGAAGTGAAATGATACTGTTAATTAATGATCTGAGCTCTGTTGTTGAGAACGCTCATTTGATGAGTACCCTAAATATTATGCTTTGAAGAGGACTCAAACTTGCATGCTATTATAGTACGAGTTGTCACATGTAGTTTTTAAGAATTTTCTTTAACGGAACTTTTAGTACTCCTTGAGCTAATTCGTTATTGTTTTCCTACAAAGTCTACATCAAATGTCTCAAAATAGTTCAACCAATAGCTATGGGATCACTCTATGCTGCAATGGAATTCATTGTATTTTAGGAGTAGGATGTCACTTTGTTAATGCAAACTTGGGTAGTGATGAAAATCTACTTTGAACACAACGCCTTCTCCATAGCGCACCAGCTCGAGTGGATTTTCCACATCCAAAACTCTATCTAGCTAGATATGTAGAAAATTTATTTGGAACTGGAAGGTGTTTGGGGTGGTATGATATGTCATATCTGGAAGGTTTGGAATTGAAAGGTGTTAGAGGAGTCAATGTAAATACAGACACAGATTAAGCAGTTTGTGTCCGATTTCTGTTTATCAGTCGAATTTATTTCTACAAACCATAGACAAATGAAAACATAATCTGATTTGAGTCTCAAAGGAAGAAAAGTCATGTCTTTATTCATAGGATAACAAACACTTTATGGAAACATCACAAACTATGAAAGATAAAGGCTTTTATCTGCATCATCAGCAACTGATCAGTAGACTTGAATCCTGCAATTTTCAAAAATAAAGAATTAAACTTACACACTAATAAATAGATATATAAGAAGTAATCTTTTGAAGGATAAAGATCAAGTTGAATACCTGCAGGTCAGTGCACATTAATATCTTTTCTTGTGCCTTTTCATTATCGTACTAATTTTGTGTTCCAATTTTAAATCCATCCTCGAAAACCATGTTGGATATTGAGTTGACCACATTATGTATATTACAGATAGTCCAATAACAAGTCCACAACCGTAACCCATGAGAACTGCCTGCCAACTGATCATTGGTGAATCTTCTTCTTCTTGGTCTAGCTCAACTGGAATTGTCTTTTGTGGTACCCTATCATCACGGCCACAATCTCTTGAGGGTGGTAATCCTCGTAATCCATCATTTCCTTGGTATGAATTGTTCTCAAATGTATTAAATTGGTTTCCTTTGGGGATACATCCAACAAGTTGATTGTGAGAGAGGTTTAAGACTTCAAGTGACGTAAGGGACACAAATTGTTGTGATATTTCACCGCCTATTTTGTTGCATGAAAGATCCAATGATTCAAGTACAGATAAATGTTGCAGTGATTCTGGTATGTGACCTTCCAAGACATTATGAGATAAGTTCAACGTACGAAGTCCAACGAGATCTCCAATAATGTTTGGAATACAACCTTCAAATCTATTCCCTGAGAGATTGATAATTATTTGTGTAGTCAAAACTCGAGGAAGTTCATGATCCAGTCCCTTCGTTGTCACTATCAAAGAATTTTCGTAATAATAAGAATATATATCTGCTACATACTTTGGGGTTCCACTGTTCTCACCATTTTTTTTCATGGCTTGAAAATTCTGAAACAAGTTCACTGGTAAATCTCCACTAAATCCGTTGGATGAGAGATCTATGACTCGAATTTGAGCAAACAAATTGTCAGTCCTTATAGGGCCATAGAACTTATTTGATCTCAACTTTAAGATCTGCAAATGAGGTAGCTCTCCCAACCATTTTGGAAACGTGTCATTCAACTCATTGTTACTTAAATCTAGAAATTCCAATTTTTCACAATTGATCAAAGATGATGGAACTTTCCCCTGTAGTTTATTGTCATTCAATTTAATGATGTTGAATTGGTTTTCAATAGTAAAAGTTGGATTAATTGTCCCACTAAGACCATTGTTGCTTAAATCCAAAATCTGAACTGTACTCATCTCACCCAAACATTGTGGAATTGTTCCCTCCAAATTATTACTTTTCAAATCTAGTAGCAACAATGTTTTCAGATTGCAGATAGCTGAAGAAATATCTCCACTGATATTATTGTGTGAAAGGAGAAGAAGTAGTAGGAACTGCTGGTTTAGGAGTGACTTTGGAATAGGACCTTCCAGCTTATTTTCTTTTAGAGTAACGATATATAATGTTTTGGACTTGAACTCCTGAATTTTTCCACTGAAAGTGTTATTGCTCAAGTCTAACGCTTCCAGTGAAGGAAGGGAGAATATCCAGGAAGGTATAGTCCCATTCAAGTAGTTTGATGACAAGTAGAGTGATTGTAGATTTCGCAGTCCGCTTACGTTGGATGGAATTGGACCAGTTAGGGAATTGGATGAAAGCTCTAGCAATTCAAGTTGCATCCAGCTTCTGTTAAAGGATATGAACTCAAGTCGGCCATCAAAGTTGTTATTTCCAAGTGATAACGTCTTGAGTTTTTCAAATATCGAGAACTGGGAAATTGTTCCTTCAAGATGGTTAGTATCAAGGTACAAAATCTCTATGTGGGTTAGATTCCATAGAGGTTTAGGAATGGGCCCTGACAGATTAGTATAGCCCATGTCCAACTCATGAAGTGAAGTTAGATGGCTAAATGATTCAGGTATCCTACCAGTAAAATTCACATCATAGAGATATAACTTCATGAGTGATGCACTGCTTTTCCATGTAGTTGTGGGAAACCTAACAGTGAGCTGGGGATTGGATGATAAATGAAGGAATTCTAAGTTGGAAAGGTGGAATACTCTTTCGGGCAATACCCCACGTAACTGTGTGTATGGAAGCGATAGAACTGTTAAACAAGAAGAGAAATTCAGAGGAATGGTGGAAGAGATATTCACAGAGTCAAGTTTGCGCTCTCTTAATTGGGTCAAGTTCTTAAGGAGCAATTCAAAATTGTGAAGCCCAGCTCTAAGCCCATATGGATCAACAGTCGTGATACGAAGAACGTTTAAATTGGTTAGATAAGATATTTCAGAAGGGATTTGACCTGAAAAACTTGAAACTGATAGATCAAGATGTGTCAAACTAGAGAATTCGCCAAATTTAGATGAAATGAGCGATCCAGAGAAATTATTATAAGACAAATCAAGGCTTTTGAGATTGGAAAGTTGAAAGAGGCTACAATTGGAATGAAACTTGCCTTGAAGTCCACTGCAAGTGAGGTTGAGCTCAATCACCTGTCCCGTCATCTTGTCACAATGTACTCCATCCCATGAGCAACAATCTGTGCTCCTATTCCATGTAAGAGTTTTCGGATATGAATGAAACTCTGTAAATTCAAAACAATAATCAGAAGCATTAGGATTTATGGGAAACATGTTCTTGAATTGTAGAAGAGCAAGAGCTTGATCTTCGGGGCACAAATGAGGTAAGGATAAGGAGAAAACAAGTTGACCGAGAAAGGTATATAGCATAAAGAATACAAGTTTTACACAATCCATTTCTGCACTAAAAATGATCAAAACTAATTAAGTTGGTAGAGAAGAAATAAAGAAATGTTTTGCTTTGTGTGTCTATTCAACAATTTTGATGAGGTATATATAACACAAATTAAGCAAAGAAAATTTTACTATTGGTTACGAGTCATTTTCAGTCAATTTGAAGTTGTGAATCACATATGGCCATTCAATGTGTCACACAAGTGAATGCCTGAAACTATCAATAGTTCACATTCTTAAGTCAAAGCACAAAGTCCCACCACTTGTATAATCACATTACACATGTATTTTTGTGTGCTACCTTATTATAGACAAAAAAATATCTTTGTTTTGCCAACTCAATTGGATTCCAGGAGTAGGACCACCACACAACTCAATTGTTTAGAACCATAAGAGTATTACTTGGTGTATAGACTTTGAAAGAAACATAACAACTTTATATCTTAGGAATAGGACAGCCACTTTGCTAATGCATTAAGTTAACACTGGAAATCTACTCTGAATACAGCGCCTTACATAGTGCACCAGCTCACGCCAATTTTCCAAGAGAATTGACCTGCTGATGGAAGACAGTGCAGGAGTCCAGACATGGCATGTTCTTCATAGATTCCATACCACTAATTCATTTAAGTCCAACTAGATTAAACATATTTTTTCTAACTTCCTGGAACTTATAGGTGAGTGTGAGACTGCTGTTCTTGTCTTATCGGGGAGCAGAACGAAACATGTTGTTATAGTCCTCAAAGTTTAGTGATGAAAGGGAGGATATCTAGGATGGCATATATCGTTGAAGTCAAGTAGTTTGATCACAATATGAGAAACTAGATTAAATAATCTGAAGATTCAAATTCTATCCAATTTCTGTTCAACGAATAATTAGGCTGAATTTATTTCCACATACTATAGACAAATGAAAACAAATTTTGGTTGAGGCACAAAAGAAGAAAACTCATGACTTTACTCATAGGCTAACAAACACTTCATGAAACTAACAACAACAAACTCAATGTAGTCCCACTGGTGGGATCTGACCGTCTTGGGAGGATAGTGTGTACGTAGACCTTACATCTACCTTGAAGGTAGAGAGTTGTTTTTGAAAGATTCTCTACTCAAAGAAAGATGTAAAAGAAGGAAGTAGGAACAAGCAGAAAATACAACAAGATAATACAGTAATCGAGGCTAAAGAAACAAGTAATAAATATCTTAGATGAAACATTTGAAACTATGAAAATAAAGCTTGTATTTGGAGGGTAATTATTTGAATCATGGAGACTAATAGAAATTAATCAGAAGCAAATATACTCCCCATACTCCAATGTGCAAAGTTTGGTAAGTTTAAGGTAAATATTTTTTAATTTTTATGACACTGTTACCGCGGATAAAGTTCAATGATTATTCTTGAAATAGATCCTATTTGTATAACTATATTGTTTTCAAATACATCAATTTTTAATTAAAAAAAATATAAAGAGAAATGTTCTCTATTTTCCTTATGAGCTACGATTACTTTCAAGATCGCACAAATCTGTTACATAAATGCACCAAAACAAAGCAAAACACTTAGAAATAAATCAAATTTCAAAGATCTTAAGCCTAAATCAATAGTGGAAATACGAAGGTCGTCATTTTAAATTTAACTTCTAACAATAATTTTTTTTCTTCTTAAATAAAATTTTATATAATTTAAACATTACATAAAAGTACTAGAAACCCAATTTACTATTAAGAACATACTTCTAATTTTTTTTATAGTAAAAAACTGTTTCACTCTTCAAATAAAAATTATTTAGGGGACAAACTTCACATAAGAAAAGTTTGAGGACCATTTTAGCATTTAAATTACTATCATAAACAGATTACCGGCATCACCAAGGAAGATTATTTCCCATTACCCAATTGAATGTTTGAATCCCTAATTTATCAGTGAAATCAGTGGAGCAAAAGGGGATTTATTTTCTTTTTACTTTTCTAGTTTCAAAAGCAAAGTAGAGAAACCCCATTTGGTTAAAAATCAAGAATTTGCAGCTAAAAGGTAGAAAAAAAAGTTCCTCTTGTTCTATTTTCTGTTCACAAATGAGCTTACTGCAATAATATGTTGTTGAAGTGTTGAATTCGGAAACAGAAAGGGTGAATCTTTGTACTCAAAACTAGCTCTTTTTTCTCCTTTGACTTTTAGTTAGGATGATTCTGAACCTTGCTTCAATGTTTGGATTTTTTTTATTTGCTGGGGTTTCTGTTTTGACCCTTTTGCATTTGATGGGATTCTTTACTGATTTCATGTTTTACAAACAAAAAATGCTGACTTTCCCATGAAATTTTTGAGGGGTAAACGTATTCTTTGAACCAGTAGCGGAGCTAGGATTTTCACTAAGGGCTTGAAAATATGAATAAGTAAACAATGGAAGAAGACGAAACAGTGTAATCTTCAGCCCCTTTGGGCCCTATTTAGCTCCACCCCTGCTTTGAACCCATTTTGGAAATTTCTGATTGTTAAAGTTTGGAACTTTTTTGTTTACTTGAAGTATGAATTTGTTAATCCTTTTGCATTTGATAAAATTGTATGGTTTAATGTGCTTGCCTTCTTTGCTTATTTCATGTTTCACAGCAAAAAGCTAATAATATCATGAAAAGTGTATTAAGTATCTTTGAACCCAATATGAAAATTTCTGATTCTTTGTTGAAGTTTGAAACATTTTTTGTTTGTTGACACTATCGTCATATGTTTTTATTTTATGTTTTGTAAAGATATCAGAGATTGGAGACTATTCTGTTTGAGATTAACCTATGTAGGTGGTTTTCGTTTTTTGCTGACTTATATTTGGATAATGCTTTTGTTCCTACAACCATTTTTTAAAATCATCTTGTTTTTTAGGTACTGGTTGTTGATTCTTATCCTGTATTTAGAATTTGGTTTTGTTCCAAGATCGTAAAATTTGAGATGCTTTTACTTACAAGGAAAACACTGCTTTTAATCCTGTATTTGAAGATGCTTGGTTAATCCTCGTGCTAACAACCTTCCTATGGATTGTGATTTGAGTACATTCTGCCTTCATAAGAAACTTCGGTTAAATTCATTTTTTTTCTTGGTCAGGTTTATAGTTTTAAAGATTGTTACCTTTTTTGGCTCTGTGGGCATGTACACTACTACATGATGGGAACTGAAGATAAGACACTGTTTTGTTTCTGTCATTGGGGTGGGAAGAATAAGTTGCTTCCAGATGGATCCACTTCGTATGTAGGAGGAATTACGGATCAGATTATTGTGAAGGCAGGCATAAAGTACAATGATTTTGTGAATGCAGTTTTTGACCGATTAGGCATTGATCCTTCAGATAAGGTCCTGCAGTTTACAGTGAAGTTTGATAGGGCCCAATTGATACGGCTGAGAGACCAAGAAGGTGTCAATACTTTGTTACAATTTAATGATGGTTTTGCCCATGTTTATGCATCAAGTTCGGAGAAGGAGCCTAATTTTGAAGTTGCTCCTATTATGGCTACCACTAGGTAATAGCCGTCTTGTAATGGTCCACAAGTTTTATCATGCAAATTTTGTGAATACCTATAGTTTGATTATATATTTTATCACAGGATTTCAACCACTGAGGTTGAAGCGGTTTCTCTTGGAAGTGCTGAGGAAGAACAAGTGAGTGCTGATACTCCAATTCCTGCACGGTCGAACCAATGGATCACTGATGGAACTCCAGATGCTGCTGCCAACTGGAGTGAATTACTTGTTAGGGAAGGACAAGCTTTTGAAAATGCAGATGCTTTTAGGCTTGCAGTTTTCAAGTTCTTGATTGCAAATAGATTTCACTACAGAATTTTGCACAATAAACCTAGATATATTAGCATATTCAAAGGTTGTGACGGAACTTTTCGTACCCTTAATTGGTTTCAAGCATACTGTTGGTGTTAACAGCTAAAGAAAAACATACGACAGAAGAAGAAAAAGAGATATTTTTATTAAGCTGAAAGAACAAAATATTTAAATAGAAGGAACTCCTAACAATCTGCAGTAAATAATGCAGTAACTGAAAAACAGAATCTTCCTATTAACTAGGCACTAAGTCTACCAACAACTCTACATGCCTAAAGACTAGGACACTCACAACTGAAAGACAAACAGAAAATATCTATCTTCTGAAAACAGAAAACACATCAGCAGCTATGTCATTATGCCAACTCAACATCAATTAACAACTCATGAGGCAGATTTCAACACTCCTCCTTGCATCAAGAGCTGCAAATTCCAAGTTCCTTTCTCAAGAACTCAAATTTGCTTGCCGGAAGAGCTTTTGTAAATATATCAGCCAGCTGCTCTTTTGTTCTGCAATATACCAGATTCACTAAACCATCCTCTTGCACTTCTCTAAGAAAATATAGTTTCACATTGAAATGCTTGGTCTTTCTATGAAAAACTGGGTTGTGAGAAATAGCAATGGCAGCTTGGTTGTCCACAAATATCTCAGTGCTTTCCTTCATCTCCAACCCAAGATCACAAAAGATTTTCTTTATCCATAAAGCTTGATTGACCGCAGCTGTAACAGCAATGAATTCTGCCTCTGCAGTTGATTGAGCAACAATCTCTTGTTTTTTTGAACACCAAGAAAAGCATCCAGCGCCAAAAATAAAACAGTACCCTGAAGTACTTTTCATATCTTCAGCGGAACCACCCCAATCACTGTCAGAAAATCCTTGAAGTTTAAAATTCTGGCATTTGCTAAATTTGACTCCATAGTCCATTGTGCCTTTGACATATCTGAGTACTCTTTTTGCAGCTTGCATATGCAATTCACTAGGAGAATTCAAGAATCGGGATAGTACATTTACAACATACAATATATCTGGCCTTGTTGCTGTAAGATACATCAAACATCCTATCAAGCTTCTGTAGCTTCCTTCTTGTACTCGTTCAGCACCATCGTCCTTCATTAACTTCTCCTTTTGATTCATAGGCGTACTCATACTTTTGCAATCGTCCATTCTAAATTTCCTCAGAATTTCTTTTGCATACTTCTTCTGACAAATGAATATTTGATCTTGGATTTGTT